CTCCTCCCTGCTCCCCCAGGAAGACGAAGGGGGGAGTGCGGGGACATACTGCATCTGCCAAGCCAGCTTCAGCGCCCAGGGCTTCAGGGAAGAGGGAGACATGGAGGGTCAAACGTGACGACAAAGGCGGTGGAGTGGGCAAGGCACAGCCTCCTTTCTGCCCACAGGGCATGTGGCCACCTCATACGAGCAGAGCAGTGACTGTGGCTTCTCCTAGAGCTGAAGGTGCCTGGCAGGGTGAACTTGCTGCTGGGGACCGGAGGGCACCTATGCAAGGAGCTGCCCCATCCGGCTCTACCACCTTTCCAGAGCTTGCTCCCTGGCCCCCCCTGGTGCAGGTCACACAAACGCTGAGAGGCAGGAGTGCTTCTCCTGCCCGGTCCCCAGCTTACCTAGGGGGTTGTAGTCCAGGTTCAACACACGGAGCTGTGAGCTGTGAGCCACTGCAATGGCCAGGCGTCCCCAGCCTTTACTTGTGATGCCTGGGTTGGCGCTCAGTGTCAGCTCTTTGAGGCCTGTAGAAGAGAGGGAAGCCAAACCAGAGTCTTAGGGTCCCCAAAGCAGTCACAGGAGGACTTGTTCAGCTCACCAGAAGAGCTTTGGCTTGTGTCCTCTGTACTCTGTAGGGCTTAAGGTCTTGGTTTGCTCTGACAACTGTCATGACATATTTCAGTGATCAGTGAAATATTTCACTGCCTTCAGCTGTGGCCCTTCATCTAACTGTGCTGCAACTGCCCCATTTATCTGCCCTCCCAACCTGCATCCTGCTTACCCTAAATAGCAAACACAATGGAAAACACAATGGAAACCAAGGGGTGTGTGAGACAACTGACTGGGCAAAGAAGGTGGCAGGAGGTGACAGGCTGGAGAGAGGATAACAGGGACAGTAGGCTCCAAAGCCTGCACCTGAGAGGGGTGGCCAGCAGAGATAACAGCATCAGTGGCATTGTGCACACACAGAGGAGGAGGTGCTGGGAAAACGTGGAAAGCACTTTGGAGAGTCAGAAGGAAGGAGTGGTATTACCTCAGCACATGCCAGCTCTCAGCTTGAGTGGGTCACTGACCTCACACCACCAAAGATCATTCCCTGCTAAGACCTGAGTCTTGGCACGAAGGCTGTGACCATGCAACTACACACTCATGGAATGCACCACAAGCAGGGACAACTCCCAGGCCCTGATAATACAGCTAGGTGCTGAGGTAGGGGCACACAGTATATTTATCTACAGTGATTATCAACACACAAATGCAAAATAATAAATTTCAAGTCCAAGCTGTCCTCTCCTCCAGTTTCAAATGCTGCTGACATGAACCAGAAGCAACCTGTTAGTCCCTGAGCTCCAAATTGCCAGCAGGACAGATCAGTAGCAGAAAGTCCAAACCTGCCCAAGGGAACCACTCGTCTATTGCTTGGCTTATCTGCTTTTCTTAAGTTAGGGGAAAGAAATCCTTAGCCCTGGCAAACCATAGAGCCTGCCTCCTCCAGGGCTGAGGATTTAGTGCTGCACGCATCTGACCTATGTGAAAGCTCCACCAGTCATTGAGCAGCCCACAGCCCCTGGTGCTTACCAGACTTGGCCCCATCAGGCGGCAGGAGCCCACAGATAAGGTTGATGCCTTCATCACCCAGCATGCAGTCTCCTAGATCCAGAGCCACCAGCGAGGGGTGGATGGAGAGAGCAGGGTTGAGGAGGGCCAAGCCTGCATCTGTCAGGGGACTCCCATGGAGGCTGTGCAGGTAAAAGGGAAAATTACTACAGAGCCTTCTTCCTGGGGGCTAACTAACCTGACAGGGAGGAAGAAACAGACAAAATGAGGTGGATGACAAATACTAACCCCAAGTGGGCAAAAAGCTTTGGAAAGCCTCTGTCGCTAGGGTGGGCTGGCCGCTACGGTGGCCCTTCTCTCCGGGCCGGGACGAGGGGCGCAGGGGATGCCGGCGTTGTGGGGGCAGCCCCACAGGGTCCGAGCCTGAGGCAGGGCCGTGCCCAGCCGGCGGGGGCAGAGGTGGCTCCCTCCCAGCCAGGTGACGGGCAGGGGCTTATCCTCCGCAGCATCAAGGGCATTTTCCCTCCGACAAGACTCAAATTCAGGGACTGGCCCCGAGCTGATAGTCCCCCGAAAGAGCCGTCCCCGCCCGGGAGAGGACCGGGACGCCCTCGGCAGCCCCAGCCGCACTGTACTCACAAGAGGGACTGAACGGAGCGGTTCGTCTTCAGGGCCTCGGCCAGCTGCTTGACGCGGTTGATGTTGGAGACGATGCCCAGGTTGAGGTTGAGCTGGGCGAGGGAGCGGGACTCGGCCACCCCGCGGCAGACGTGCCCGAAGTCCCGCTCGGAGAGCTGGCAGCCCCGCAGCGACAGCAGCCGCACCGAGTTCTCCCGCAGGCTCTCGCAGATGTCTCGGATCTCCGCCCCCGACAGCGTCTCCCCGGAGATCTGGATAGACCCCGGCAGCATCTTCCCCCGGCTGGGAGCGCCGCCGATCCCGGGGCCGCGCAGCCCGGGGCAGAGCCGGGGGAGAGCCGCGCTGCGCGCTTCGGGCCGGGGCGGGCAAAGCCGCCGCTGCTGCCGCCGCCGCTGCCGGGCAGTCCCGGCCCGGCCCACCGCGGCCCCGGGGGCGGCACCGCGCTGCCTCACCGGCGGCCGCCGGGCCGCCCCGCTCCGCCCGGCGGCGCGGTGTGACCCAGGGCAGCCATCGGCGGGGCTGATCCGCACCGGGACGCAGGGTCGCGCCGCCCCACAGCGCCGGGCGGGGCCGGGCAGCGCCGCTGGGCCCCGCCCCGCTCCGCCCGCACCTGCCGGGCCGCCCCGCTCCGCCCGGCGGCGCGGTGTGACCCAGGGCAGCCATCGGCGGGGCTGATCCGCACCGGGACGCAGGGTCGCGCCGCCCCACAGCGCCGGGCGGGGCCGGGCAGCGCCGCTGGGCCCCGCCCCGCTCCGCCCGCACCTGCCGGGCCGCCCCGCCCCGCCTTCCCCGGCCGCCGCTCCCGGCCCTCCTCCCCGCCCGGCCAGCGCCTCCCCGCGCAACGCAGCAGGCGTGGAGGGAGGTCCGGCATCCCTCATCCCACCCCGGCATCCCGGGCCCCGACGCCGCTCAAAGCCTGCGAGGGGCGGCGGTAGCGCCCGCTGGCACCTGCCCGCTGCCCTGAGGAGATGGCGGGGCCAGGGCCGGCCGGGCTGGGTCCCCGACACTGGGGGCGCAGGAGGGGAGGGAGGGTGTCAGAAGCACCTGGGAAAGGCTCTCCATGCCAGCCCTGCTCCCACCTGGGGAAAGGGGCCCAAGCCATTGGTGCACTCTGGGAGCTTGGTCCGAGAAACTGTGGTGTTCCATGGCTTCAGTTGCTTTTAATACTTAAACTCACTAAACCTGAATCCTTGAACCACAACTTAGTGGCGAGGTCAGTCTGATCTGCTCCTCATGGCCCAGAGCGTGCAAGAGCCAGTGCTTGGAGGCAGCTGCCTGGAGGTGAAAGTTGGAGGGCTGGGGAAGGGCCACAAACTTCCTTATCTCTGAGGTCACAGCCTCTGCCCTCAGCCTGACCTGAGAGATATGGGGCACACCCCACCTCCTGCTAATTCACAGGTATGGATCACAGGGATTTGTCCCCTCTCTCCCCATTGAGTAACCTTGTACTTGGAGAGAAATAGGAAGCAGGGCCCCTGCGTTTTCAACTTCACTGAGCTGAAAAAGGAAGGCAGTGATGTGGAAATTAGGTTAAACCGCCTAAGTAGGCAGCTTTCTGCACGTAACTAATCTGGCTGCTGCATATAGCAGTGCTCAAATGAATTCCAGCCCAGTGGGTAACACTGGGACAAAACCAGGCTCCTTTGCTTGGTTTGCAGGCCAGGGCCCAGGAGAGGGGATGGAAAGGGAAGAGAAAAATAGGGTGTGAAGGGGGATATGGAGCACTTCTCCTCCATTGAAATGGAGGAGCAGATCACCTGAGCTGAGGATGCATGGTAGGTCCTGGCTAGGTAAGGGGAACAGCAGCTTTAAGACTTCGGCTTAAGCTCCCAGTGTGGGTATCACCACGCCCTTTGAGCAATCCATGGCTGCTCTCTAGAGTACCCACACACACAGCCTCTTCTTTCTTTCCCTGTTGCACAGAGATGCATGACCTTGATACTGTTCTGCAAGATACACCAAGAACAGACCACTGGCCTCGCAATTCATCTGTGCTGCAATACAAGCAGCAGCTGCAAGCATCCAGACGTGGTACAGCTGTGGTGCTGTGGCTTTCAGAAAAGGAGCAGCTCATCTCTGAGGTCAAGTTAAAAGACCCAGGTGAGAATGCAATCCTACATATTGCAGGACGGTGAGGGACAGAAGACTGGGTTTCAGAGTTATAGGCAGGTGTAGCCAAGAAAATCCCAGCTGCTGCTACTGCATGCAGGTCAGCTAGAAGGCTACACTCAGACTCACCTCTCTACCTCCAGGCACTACTCAACCCACACTTTTTAAAACAGACTATTATTAGAGAGGTGCTCGGAGGAGAGCCCCTGGGACATGTCCCACTTCCATTGCAGCAGCAGTCCTGAAACATTGATGAAGATGCTCTAGTGCCTCTTCACTGCCTGTTGTCAGGAGCCAGAGCACATTGAGGAGACAAGTATCCCACCTACTTTATGCTCAGTTCATTGAAAAAGTGGCACAGGAGCTAATGGTCCAAAGCTTTGGCTCACCAAACCTAATGCAGGGCTATGCTTTGGGGACTTTGGCAATGCTATTTTGTGTAGAATAGGTATTTCTTCCTGGTCACGTGCAGTTAGCCAGCAGGTATGAGGAAGGTCATTTATTGTTTACCTACCGGTGGCAGAAAGTGATGGCATTGAGAGTTAACACATAAACAGAGAAAAACAGTGGATGAACAGCAACTACAGTGAGAGTACACAGGAATACAAATGGGAGTAGAAAGAGCCTACCTGTAATCCAAAATCACAACTAAGGTGACCATTAGTGCAACAAGGATAGACTGTAAGAAGAGTTGGACACTCAGCTATTGCATAGGAGGAGGTCATAGATGCTTTAATATTAATTTTCAGCTTTAATATACAGCTTTCTCTTTCTAATCTGACAGCTTTATATGTTTGTTCCATATTTAATAAAGAGGGGCTTACACAGAGCTACCTTTACCTCAAAAGTGGGAAATGATGAGTGGGTTATTTCAGATTTGCTGCAAGGGAGAAGGGCAAAAATTATTTGAGATTTGCTGCAAGAGCTGTACCAGGAAACAGAGACAGTATTGCACGATAGGGTGGTAAGGCTTGTTCTGCTAACTAGAGGACTTGAGTAAGCACTGAGATGCCCTCCCACAAGGACTTCATTAGGCCTGCCTGCTCAGCATGCTCCCTGGAACTGCAGCATGCATGCATTTCTCTGAAAAAACATGTCCTTCTCTGTCGGTGAAAGGCAATGCTGAAGCTCTCAGCCGAGCACTGAATTTCTGGCAGTAAAGAACAGCTCAGCTTCCAGCTGCTGCTGCACAAAGAATTAATCAGGGCTGAAGAACTGGAGCAGAGCAAGCCCCACAGGTTCCAAGAGGGTGGCTGGTTGTCACCCTGATCATGTCCCCAGCTGACACAACACACAAGCTGCTCAGGGGAAGCATGAGGAGTTTACTCACTGCTCTCTGTGCTTTGAGTGAAAATGCAGGGCACAGCTTCACCCCTCTGGTTCAGCTGAGTGGCTCAGTGCAGGAGGGAGCACAGCTGTTCTCCAATTGTGTCATAAATCAGCAATGGTACAAGTTTGGTGCAGAATGGTTTGTTTTTCCTCAGCTGAACTTACTCCAGTGACAATTGTCTCTTTCTCCTTTCCTTCCCCCCTGCCAGTACTTCCAGAGTTTGCACCGACAGAAATGGATCCATTCTAGGCTGCCAGGGCAAGAATTTGGAATTAGAAACAAACCTCCCATGGAGATACAAAGAGAGAAATACCAGAAGCAGCATTACAAACTATCATTTCCATTTTGTTAAGTTTTGAAGTAATAGAAATTCTAGGAGCTTAAAGTGGTTCAATTGGTCTAAAAAACCCCATGGAGACCACTAGCCAAAATAAGTAACAATTACCCCAGGTAGCTTGTTCTTAATGCTGTTCTTCAGCAAAAATGTTTCCCAAAGAAGGGGGTCAACAGGGGAGAAGAGAGTGAGGGAACCTGTCTGTTACAGGTGTCACTGTCAGCTGAGAAGTTTTTTGCTCTTGAAAGGGGAACAAATTATGAATGTGGGAATAAGCAAATAGTGGAAAGTAAGTCTGTGACTGAAAATAACCAAGTCCTGTCCAGTGACATTTTTTTCAACTGAAGCAGATGAAAAACCTGATTACAGTAGCTGGCACTGTCTTCCTCTCTTTCACTGCACCTTGGCACTAGTCTGAATGCCACTACAGCTGCATCCTCTCCCATTAATATCAACAAGGGACCAAACAGTGCAGTTCTAACATACTGCCTTGTGCACTTGTGGGCACACCAGGAAAGGGCCATATCCTGGGTTTTTTCTGCCTGAGTTTAAAGATGACCTTCTCTGAGGGGTGGCTCCTCTCCCCCAGACATCCAGAACCACAGGGAGAGAAAAGATGAAAGCAGACCAGTAGAAGTTTGAGCAGTGAGGGAAGGCTGAACTACTCAGTTGTGAGTTACTGCAGTGCAGGTAAGCCTAGACTGGGCTGCTCTGCTTACCCATCCTTACTGGAGATTTCCTGCATCAACACACTGGAGATTAATATGGCCACTCTATTTCCATTACACACTCTGCTACTTCTCCTTTGTTAAATGGAAACACCAGAGAAAAGCTTGCCAGAGACTCTCAAGGCCCCAAGAGTCCTTTCAAACAAAGGCCTAGACTCAGCTTGAAAAGCCAGGCAGTGCACAGCAGAATGGGTGTCTGGGGAACAGAATGCCACTCCTGCCCAGAGGTGACAGTCCCATGGCTGGGAGACATGAGGGCCAGCAGCACAAGGGTGGGCTGAACTGGCCTCCTCGTAGAAATATCCACTGAAAACCATGCACAAACATGCTGCCCTGCATGCCCCACAGAGCAACATGGCAGAAGGGTGGCAGGAACAAAGGCATGGGGACAGATACATATTCCTGACATCCAGAGCAGAAGGAATGCTGAGGTGAGATAGCAGCTTGGACCAAGTGATGAGAGAGGGAGCAGTAGGGAACATGACAAGAAAGAGCATGTGGTTAAACACTGTGCTGTTCCTGAAAACCACCAGAGAAAGTGAAGTTCCTGTGCCTTTTGAACTACTACACCTTTGAAAAAGGTGCCCAAAACAGAACATGTATCACAGAACATTTGAAGAAGGACAGCAGAAAACTGCAAAGAATCCTGCTTTGAGTCCAGGACAGGACAGATGAAGGCACAGAGACCCAAACACCATGCTCCCAATTAGACAAGCAGGCTCAAGCATAAGACATCACTCAGCACCAACATCAATTTAATTCTTCCCTCTTCAGGACAGGAACAGGGCAGATACTCCTGGAGTTACATCAGCAAGCGGAAAGAGGGCTAAGGAACAAACTGTGCTGGGAAATCCCAGCTAAACATGCAGGCAACAGAACCACTCTACTCAAGATAGCCCACACCTGGATGGGGGAAGAGTACAGCTCTCCAGAGTCACTGAGGTGTGACTCACCTCTGCTGAGTCCACTCAGCTGCCCAAAACCGTAACGCAGAGGACAGGTCCAGGAAAACAAAACCAAGTTGTCTTCTTGCTGTTCTGTCCTGCTCCTAACAGGCAGCAGGTTACTGTGGCCCTATGCAGCCCCAAAAGTAGTGAAGGAAGCAAGTCCAAGTCTGTAAAACTAGAGGGTCAATGCAATGGCTTTGGCTGTTGTGTTCAGTACAGTATTGGAAACAACTGGAATGTCTCGGGCAACTCTCTGAAAGGGCGGCACGTTGGGTCCTTCCAATGTGTCCAGGATACCTGGAGAACAGAAAAAGGTGGGGGAGGCAAGAGTTAGTTCAGATGATAGCAGATGGTGAAACACATTCCTTCTCGCTTTTCTCTCTGTCCAGGTAGTGGTTGAGGGTGGCAAGGCCCAGAACAGACAAAGCACTTGCAGGTAATGGGAGGAGACATCTAGCCCCAAAGACTAAAAAAGAGTAAACACTTCCATCCAGAGACCACAGGGTGTACACACACATCAGAGCTTGTGCTCGGGGCAGAAAAACTGCATGTTCCCAAAAGCAACACAGACCCTTTTGCTTTGAGGGTGTCAGATCCATCCCCTGCCATTTGACCTGAATGCAGGTACTGCCAGAGATGTTGCTCTGTTGAGGGAAATTGATAAAATCCCGTTTCTACTCCATGCCAGCACAGATCTCGCTCTTAGACCAAGACTTGCTTTCATCCTGAGACACACTTGCAGACTTGCATCAGGAGCTGCAGCTGTGCTGCAATGTGGAATTTCTGTCACTGCAATGCACAACCACGCTTGGCAGGAAATACACACACCAATGCAAATGTCCTCGAGTCTCTGTCAATTACCCTCTTAAGACTGATAATCAGTTTTGGAGTGCTTTGAGGAAAATTGCTTGGAGTATATTTTTTTCTATTTAATCTGACAAAAAGCTGCAGATCAGAACCTTTGCCATAAGAACAGATTCAGGAAAGACAAGATTTATACCCAAAAGGACTTGTAATGCTATTAAGCTAATTATGAAGATTTATCAGAAATATCACAAATGGGTCTGGCTGCCTAAACTCATAGAAGAACTTGCAGAATTGCATATTTACGGATATTTAGGGATCTGGAAACTCTCTAGAGATGGGGTGGGAGAAGAATTTTGCTTTGTTTTTTTTTTTTTGTTTTTTTTTTTTTTAAGGAGGTTGAGACTTTATTAGGAGAAAAGAAGGAGAGATAGAAGGAGGACACGAACATGCATGGCCTGGTTAACAGTACCAGCTGGGGAAGATACAGCTTCTCCTATCAGCTAGGTAGTAGAAGATACAAAAAGATGTTTAACAAAGAAGGATGAACACTTATAACACATTTCCTGATCAGAGAAAAGCAACCTGACTTCAACAATATTCAGGAAGGGGCTGGACACTGGCATGCAAGAACAGTCAGTGTTGTTACACTTCACTTGTGGGGAAATAATTAGGGTCCTGCATCACAAATTGGGTCTTAAGTGCTAAAACTCAGTGCACAGCAACTACCCCAGTGTTTACCTGCTGCCCTATTTGAACAGTTTCTTCTAAAAAGCTACTGGTAGTGATTTTAGAGCTGGAAATTGGCACAGATGCCCAAAGGACAGATTTAAACGGTCCATCCTTTCTCTCAGAGAGAGAAAAAACAACTTCTCTTCCCCCAGATCTAACAGGATGTCTTTGTATCTCCCTTGCTTACCTTCTACCACCTTGTGATAAGCAAAGTGCAGATAGAGGAGGAAAAGCATATGCAGAGCAGCAAGAGTCCCACACAGGATGAGCCGCTGGGTATGTCCCACGGTGCGTGACACCAACACGGCAACCTAGGACAGAGCAGGTGATCAGAGACAGGGCACCTGTACCTGAGCCTCTGGCACTGCAGCCAGGAACGCATGGAAGAACAGGTCAGGCAGTGAGAATCTGCAGGGACACTGCACTAAGTCTTTTTTGCAGTTTCTACCAACAATTTTGGAGTAATTTGGCACTGTTTTGTGTAGGTGAAACGTGCCCAGTCTTGCCAAGAGACTCAGGCATGGCTCTCCACAGCAGCAAGGGCTGTAAGGGAGTAAATGAACCTCCTGCAGCTGTTAGAATGGGTGAGGATGTTAATCCAAGCAGCACCTCCACACACCAGTAGCAAAATTATGCAGGAGCATAGTTTTCTCCACAGCAGTTTGCCTGGCTGTGAAATGAACCACCAGGCCAAGGAACAGAAAGCAAACTCCACTTCCCTCCCTTCTTCTGTCCCAGGAAGAGGAGGAGCCCAGGCTGCCTGTCCCTTACCATTCGTAGTGTAGAGAGTCCACCAACAACCAACCAGAAGATGTAGAAGAGGGAGTGGAAGTGGATGTTATAGGTGACAAAGAGAGTGATGCAGTGTCCAAAAAGACCATAGCCCTAAGAAAACAAAAACATCCATGTTACAAGCACCAGTCCCACACAAAGGGCCATTGATGAAGAGCAGAACAGCCTATTCCTGCAACACTTCACCACAGCAAAGCCTCACAAGCCACTCATTCACTGCCCAACAGTCAACCAGTACAACAATGGCAGCTCACACATAGATAATCGGTCTGAAGGATTCAGGCATGCCAGAGATTGCAACAACGTGGGAAACAGAAGAAAGATCCTCCAATCCCAGAGAAACTGGAGTCTTCTGGCTTTTTACCACCAGGTTCTCAAATCAGGAAGTGCAAAGCAGGAGACCTGCATGAAGGAATTGCCTCTTTGTACTACTGCTGTGCCAGGGATGGGGCAGGTCAGAAGAACATCCTGGAATCCTGGGTTATTACAGTGCAGTTACCTGCAGTTACCAGCAACTTTACATAGACTTTTCCTGATCTTTGTGAAAAGCTTGTTCTGGAACAGCAAACAGTCAATGTGCACCATAGGGCAGCTCCATGAGTACATACCAGCAGTGACAGCATCTGCACCATGGTGATTTGGGCATTGCACAGATATGCCAGGAAATACATGAAGGATGAGACGCCCAGCCAGTAACCGAAGCAGGTGCCAATAGCTGTGCCCATCAGCGTGCCTTCCCTCTGTGGAGACAGTATCAAGATGGGGAGAACTCAAAGGAGTGACCTGCCAGCACCCAAATTAACCCCTGAGAGTCCCAGACACTTTTTAGGAATTATCAAATAGGTGGCCAGCAGCTTTCAGGGGGCCACAGGACCTAGACCCCAAACTCTCCCAGCAGCAGAGTGTTAAGAGTTTCTGGTATATCTTTCCTCCCACCCCCAAACCAACATCCTCAAATCAATCTGCTTTTCACAAGATGCTTATTCAGTTATAGAAGAGGTTTCCTCTCCTTTTCTAGTGCCAGTACAGCAACCCAGAGCCCAGTCAAATCAGCACTTATCACTGAAACTTGACGTACAATGATGGTGTCCGAGGTCTTCATTCCATGCAAAAGAATGGCCACCAGTGTGAAAACCAGCATGAGGGGTCCGTACAGCTCGCCTGCAATCTTCTGCAGGAGGAGACAGGTGAGGGAAAGTTTGGTTAGAGCCCCTGAATATCAGGGTCCCCACCACAGGCGATGTGAGAAGTGCACTGGATGGAGTTTATCACCCAGGTTATCACCTGAGGTCAGGTGACAGCACACTGAGGTTTGGAACAACCATGGAAAGGAGCTACCAACATTTTCAGGGAGAAGAACACCTAACAAACTCAGTCCTTAATAACATGGATTATGTCAAGTTTTAAAAGGTGCCTGTGGGACAGTCACTTGGCCATGGAGTCTGATTCAGCAAAAGGGAACTCACCTGTGGGAAATTAATCATCTTCACAGGAATCATGGACTCCAGCAGTCTGCCTCACAGGAAAACAGGGAATGACAACAGGAGCAGGAAGAATAACAGGATAGTTAACAAAATGCTTCATAAGTAAAAGATGCCATATACCCATTACCAGTGCTTGCTATTGTGTTGACAGGCCTTGAGGAACAGAGGATTATTTACAAAGGGTGAGTCAAGCTCACTAAAGAAAGAAAACCTGTCAGTGGGTTAACTTTGCTGAGGAGGGGCAGATTCAATGAAAATGTTTAGGGATGAGAGATCATTGACAGAACAGCAGGAAGGAAAGGTAGCTTTCCTCCTAAAAGCTCGAAAACCTTTGCCTTGTTGGACTCAATTGTGTTGCAAACCCAACAGAAGCCATATAAGGCAGCCAAGTACAAAAAGAGCCCCTTCTCCTGCCCTGAGCAGCAATGCCAGGTGACAGGGCTGCCAGCCCAGCCACAGGACCTCACTGAGGTGAGCAGGACAATGCACAATGTGTTTATCCATATGTGAGTCTTCCTGCAGGTCTGCCAGCCCTCTGCTGCTCGCTGGCTCGGAGCTGGCAGCCACTCCTGCAGGCACGGAGCCGCCGCCTGCCCGCGACGGGGCTGCCCACCTGGCTCGCACTTGGACGGGCTCCACATCGAAGTAGGGCCGGAGGATGTCGATGTTGGCGTAGAGGCTGAAGGCCCTGGAGGCTTGTCTCTTCCCCACCTGCCACATCTGCGGAGAGAAGGGAGCGGGCAGCGGCCGGCCGGGCAGGCAGGGGCCCCGGGGCCGGGGCCGGCCGGGGGACAGCGCTCACCTGGTCAGCGACCTGCCGGCCCAGCTGCCCCCGCAGCCCCTTCATGCCCAGGAACTCCCCGTCCTCTTCCTCGCCGGCGCCCGCCTCGCCCTCCGCCTCCTCCTCCTCCTCCTCCTCCTTCATGCGCTGGTGCATCTCCCCCATGTCCTCGAAGCTGGAGCCCGACGTGTCGTCCATATTCTCCATGTCGATGACGGCAGAGCCGCCACCCTGCGCCGGGGCACACACAGTGTCAACACCCGCTCGGCCCGGCCCGGCCCGGCCCCGCCGCCGCCCCGGCCCGGCCCCACCTGCATGTTGTCCTCGAAGCCGCCCCATTCCGCGGCGGGGGCACCGCTCCTGCCGCCGCCCGCCGCCCCCGGCGCGGCCATGGTGCCCGTCCCGGCCCCGCCGCGCTGGCCCGGATGGGCGGGAGCCGGATGTGACGGCGGCCGCGAAGCCGCGGGCCGGGCCCGGGAGCCCCGCCCATCGCCCTCATGGCGGCCCGGCGGGCCACGGACGAGATGCGGGACCGCGTGGTCCTGGGCGAGTTCGGCGTCCGCAACGTGAGCGAGCCCGGCGGGGCGGGACGGGGGGCGGCCGGCGCCCGCAGCCCCTCACGGCCCCGCCTGTGCCCTGTTCTCGCAGGTCCACACCACCGACTTCCCCGGCAACTACCCCGGCTACGATGACGCCTGGGACCAGCGGCGCTTCGAGGAGGTGGGTGAGCGGCGCCGGCAGCCGGGGCTGTCCGTGGCTGTGCGGGACCGGGGCTGTCCGTGGCTGTGCGGGACCGGGCCCTGCAGCCGGGGCTGTCCGTGGGTGTGCGGGGCCGGAGCTGTCTGTAGGTGTGCGGGGCCGGGCCCTGCGGCCGGGGCTGTCTATGGGTGTGCGGGGCCGGGCCCTGCGGTCGGGCCGGCTGATCCGCGGTGCGCGGCTCCCGCAGGCGTTCCGCGTGGACGTGATCCGTGAGGAAGAGGACACCCTGGAGTTCGACATGGTGGGCATTGACGCCGCCATCGCCAACGCCTTCCGCCGCATCCTGCTCGCCGAGGTACCGATGCTCACCTGGGGGTGCCCGCCCAAGACTTGCTTGACAGGGAGCGTGGAATGTCCAGCCTTGCCAGCCCCTGCAGACCGCTGCGGGTTTTAGAATGAAGCACACGTTCATTCCGCATGTGTGCCAGGAGCCCAAAGAGAATTAGGGCTTTAGCAGCATGGGCGATGCCGCCTACTGGCCCTAGTGCCGTTGGTGGTGTCTGCGGGTCAGCCTTTTTCACACAGCTGTGTTGCCAACCCAACAGAAGCCACATAATGCTGCCAAGTACTAAAAGGTTGAGGATGCCTCAAAGCCCTTTCTCCTGCCCTTCACCTCTTGTGATTGATTGTGTGAAAAAACGAGGATGGGAGTTTGTGTGTAGATGGGGTGTAAGGGTATATTGCATAGCCTGATTTAGCAGAAATACCACTCAAAATAGTCTGCATGGCAGTTATTTGTGGGAGAGGAGAGAGACTTGAGCTGGATAATCTCTTTGTATGTAGTTCAGCAATTGTCTTAGGCTGACTTGATCTCTTGTCTCCACGAGGTGCCAACGATGGCTGTAGAGAAGGTCTTTGTGTACAACAACACATCCATTGTGCAGGATGAAATTCTGGCTCATCGGTTGGGCCTCATCCCTATCCGAGCTGACCCTCGGCTCTTTGAGTACAGAAACCAAGGTGAGAATCTTGAATAGAATAGCAATATTGAAGGTTTCTCTCAAAGCAGGAAATCAGGGTCGTGTAAACTGAGCAGAAGTGTGATTTCATATGTTTCTTCCCAGGAGATCAGGAAGGCACTGAAATTGATACTCTGCAGTTTCAGCTGAAAATCAAATGCAAACGAAACCCTCAGGCTGCCAAGGAATCATCTGATCCCGATGAACTCTATTTCAATCATAAAGGTGAGATTGCTCCTAAAAATAGGTGCTGTTTTTTCTTTTTGGTCTTGGAAGACAGGACTTGGGCTGTTTTCTCAGCCCTGTGTGCTCAAAAGGAGAGTTGATTCCGTTCTGCTAAACTTGCTTTTTGCTATCTCCAGTCGTGTACAAGTGAGTGACCTGCTTTGAGGCAGCAGCTGGCTGATGCTTTTGGCTTCTCTTTGCAGTGTACAGCAAACACATGACATGGGTGCCCTTGGGGAATCAGACAGACCTTTTTCCAGATGCTGACTTCCGACCTGTTCACGATGACATCCTTATTGCACTGTTGCGACCTGGCCAGGAAATAGATGTGCTTATGCACTGTGTCAAGGGAATAGGTGAGCACTGGCTCCTGGGGCAGCAGGACAAGGAATGGGAGTGCTTGGGCACTGCGGTGTGATGGGGAAGGGTGGAGAACTGGCTTTTCCCCTGGGACTTTAGGCCCCAGCATCCTTGTTCCCTGAGGCCTGCTCTCATCCTTGACTCTTAACTCTTCTTACAGGTAAGGATCATGCCAAGTTTTCTCCTGTGGCCACAGCCAGCTATCGACTGCTTCCTGACATTACTCTCCTGCAGCCTATTGAGGATGAGGCAGCTGAGACCTTGCAGAAGTGCTTTTCCCCTGGGGTCATTGAGGTCCAGAATATCAATGGTACTTTTTTCCTGTGCTAAGTGCCTTGTTCCTTGCAAGCTTTAGTAGAGATGATTGGAGCTTGGAGCCAGACTTTGCAGGGACAAAACCACATTGTGATGTTGCCTTGCTGATGAATGGTTCGTGCTTTTCTGAGCCTGGTTTTGTGGATGAGTGGCTGCCACGTGTAGATGTGTTGGGTGATGAACAGGGAGGTCCCTGAAATAAATTTGATACCTGTCCACAGAGCTCTGCAGCTGCTGACTGCAGCTTCCAGTGCTGTTCAGTTGTGACATTGGGTAGTGAGCTGGAAAAGCAGCTGAATGTGGAGACTTCTTGTGTCCTTCCAGGGGTGCAAGTAGGCTTAGTGTTTGGGTTTCCTGCCAGGTTGGAGTTTCATGTTGGCTATGTGCTAATTCTTGATATTGGTGTCTCCCAGCCTTTTGTGAGGGGGGAGTGCCTGTTTGAAGTGAGCATGTGCTGCGTCCATAAGGCACCCACCTGCTGCAATTTTCCCATTTTGTTTCATCTTCCCTTTAGGAAAAAAGGTGGCGAGAGTCGCCAATGCACGGCTGGACACGTTCAGCAGAGAAGTTTTCCGACACGAGGGTCTGAAAAACCTTGTGCGCCTGGCAAGAGTACGGAACCATTACATCTGTAAGTGCCCCGTTTTCCACAGAGTGAGGACATGGCTTGTGAGAACAGCAGTGACTGGCCAGCATGTGTGGCTGGCTCTGTGCCTGCTCCCACCCTCAGCATCCAAACATTTAGAATGCGATGGGTAACTGCTTGCTTTGGGAACCTGGAAATTGAATCTGTTGGTGCCTCCTGCTGCCAAAGGTAGCTGCTTCTGGCTGTGAAGATCTGGCTTGTTGCTGGCTGTGAGGTGTAAGGGAAGGTGAGGGACAGCAGCATGGAGGCTGAGGCTGCCTCGTAGCTCTGCTGACTTGTGTCTGTGTCTCTGTGCAGTTTCCGTGGAGTCGACGGGTATCTTGCCTCCAGATGTGCTGGTGAGTGAAGCCATCAAGATCCTGATGGGAAAGTGCCAGCGTTTCCTCAATGAGCTGGACTCTGTGGCTATGGAGTGACCAGGCTGTAGCTGGGAAAGCAGAAACCTGAACTGCTGTTCTGGGCTTCCTGCACCTGCCCCCAAGGGGAATTCCTCTTCCATAGGCAGGAGGCTTGTTAAGGGCTTGCTAGGAGTCCAAGGACTATCTCTTTGGATTTTTCTGTTGGTAATGAAATGCAGTGAGAAGATGCACTAAAATAAAGGTTTGTTTTTTTTTTAAAGCTGTCTCCTGTGCCATTCACAATTGTGAAACCATAATACATGGAGAAGAAAGTGGCAGTATGTCTAAAGATGAGTAACAGCATTTATTTTAGATGGTATGCAGTGAAGAAGACTGATGGGCAGCGTAGTAAAGCACTTCACAGCAGGTCAGTGAGGTTTAACGAGTTGCTGTTAGAGCATGGCTGTTTTGTGGGTGTTTCAGACCAGCTCAGGGATAGTTAATATGGTAGAGAAAAGGCTGTACTGTCAGTTTCTTCATAGGAGAGGTGTCAGAGGACTGGAACACCCCTCCTATGAAGAAACTGAGAGAGCTGGGATTGTTCAGCCTGGAGAACAAGAAAGCTCCAGGGAGACCCTGTTCTGGCCTTTCAGTGTATCAAGGGGCCATGGGGAAAGACTTTACCAGGGTCTGTACTGACAGGCTGAGGGCCAACAGTTTTGAACTTGAGGAGGTAGGCTCATATTGAACATGATATTTTTTACAATGAGGATAGAGAGAGGTAAGCTGTCACAGGTTGCCCAGAGCTGCGAATGCCCCATCCCTGGAAGTGTTTAAGGCCAGGTTAGATGGGGCATTGAGCAGCATGGTTGAGTATTAAGAGTTGAAAATGTCTTGGAGTATTGATGTGTCCCAGTTGCTGAAGTCAAAGCACACTATAGTGCTAGACCTCAGCAGGTAAGTAGAATGAAAGTTCTGTTTCCTTGGCATAGAATTACTTGAGTGTAAAGATCCTGTTAGGGTAAACATGCTGTAGGGAGGAGGTACACTTGGCATCCTGGCTCCAACCCCAACCTGTCCCATGCCATGCTGCAGACCCAGGCATATGCTGCATGTGTCTATCACATGTTCTATCTATCTATCTATCTATCTATCTATCTATCTATCTATCTATCTATCTACTTCTCTGTGCTATTTCTTCACATGCTTATGGGACAGACCCTGGAAAAGCCTAAGGGTTTTGCTTTGACAGCACATACCCCTGAAGCTGTACGCTGGGACCTAGAATTAAAATAAACTAGCAGTGACAAATAAATACTTTAAAAATGCAATTTCCCCCCCACCTAATTAAACTATATAGTCTGGAATGGTTCACCCCCTCCCTGACAGTGTACTAACCACCAGCAAAGGTGCCCCCTTTTTGGTAACTGGAATAAAGAATGCTGAGAAATCTCCAGGCAGGCAGTCTGGTCAGACCAAAGGCCTCAGATCTTACTGAAACAGATGAAAGAATAAAAATGAAACATGACACCATGTGTATGAAACTGGAATAGCTTTACTGACATTCAGGTGTAACACAACCAGTTCAGAGACAGCTTCGGATTTAAACATTCCTACAAAAAAGGTTTAAAATTCATTTTACAAAAACCCCTTGTGTCTAGCATGAAGTCACAGAATGTTAAAAATATCACAACACAATAAATACACCCAGCCTTTGTTAGAGCCAGGAGCCATGTTAGCTCAGAGGTTAAAAAAGTTTGAGGCTAGGAAGAAAGTGGAGGGCGCTGGTGGAACAGCAGGGGCAGGAGGGTGAGTGGATGCCCAAGGCCTGCTCTTCTATC